TGGCTGAAACGCCTCAAAAGGTCCTTTGGTTTGAAGCGATTTTAGCGTCTGTGTGACACATCGTAAAGTAAACGCTGGAAGAGTGCTATTTAAGTATGGACTCAGCCTGTTATAATGTGTTTTTCTTTCTTGACGGTAGGTACATGAAATTCAAGACGTAGATCAGCATTTCGTATATACCACGCAGCGCTAACTGCATTCCTAGGTGCTTTGTTTTGGAATCTTAGTATCATAACTGTTATCTATTTTTTTGCACAACCCCAGATTTGGATGCCATAGAGCCATTTAAGCTTGAAGATTTGTTTGTATATCTTAAGTTTGTCTTCTGAGATACTTTATATCTCCTTCCAATAAGCCAAGTTAGTTTTTATATCTAATTAGTTCGTTTTTTCTGGACGTGTGCCATTTCAGCCCATTCATTATTCTCTTTTTTTATTGGAGGGTTTTGGAAAATCGGTCTGTTATATTTGTTATATTTGCCATATAAGGGTAAAATTTATACCGTTGGAAAGGTGAAAACGTGCAGAAGTGCCCAACGTTATTTTTTTGCATGTTCGTTCGCATGTAGAGGACGGTTGAAATTAGTAAAGAAGGAGTTAACATCCGCGGCCTCTCAAATTCGGCCAACGGTGCTTGGTTTCATTAACGGCAGAATCATGCGATATTATTCGATCGTCTGATTGCTGCCAAACGGGACATGAACTTGTTTCTCTAGAAAAGTCTGGCAACATCTCGTTTGGCTGTGGTAAGTCTCAAATCCACAAAAGCATGCTCGTTCACTTTTACTTGGGCTACTTGGGATTTATTTTATTTAAATAATTGACTTATAGGTCTGTACCAATATAAGATTTCACAACAGGCGATCATTCAACTGAAATTTATCAATCAATTTATGTGGAATATATTAAATGTCAATTAGATAACTAAATAATTTTTTTATCAGTATATTAGTGATTTTAAAACTAAAACTATATAACTTAAAATTCACGGCGATAATATTTATCTACGTCATAATAAGATGTTACGACAGAAGATTCATCGTAATAAATATTATCGAATAAACTTTTTATACATTAACAAAAGTTCACATTTGTAAATTCTATAAAAATTTTGCCACAGCCAGGTACAGAAGTACCTCCAATAGGTACTAGAATTTCTACGCTTTGTATTGCTCTGTTGCTTTCCCACACTTTCTTACAACTCTATAACATTTTGATGTCAACTCGTCCATCGCGTAGTTCATCACGCGATACTACGTTTAATAGACAGAGTACTCTTAACCCAAAAAAAAAAATTTTTTTTGAGAAAGGTCTATTACTTAAGGAGTAGTTAACAAACAACAAAATCCGGATACTTTTTGAGCAGAATGCACATTATCAATTGTGCTGTCTAAAGTAGCAGAGATTTAAGCTTTCAGCTCGACAGTCCTAAAGAAGGACAACATTACTAAAATTTCAAAAACAAAAAATCAAAATAGCCTGGAGAAAAGCAGATGCAATCTCTTGAGCAGAGGTCTAGCAATAGAGCTGAATTTTAAGAATATACTCATAGGGACAGTTCCAGTATCGTATACATTTATAAAGTCAAATAATTCAAAAGTTTCTAAAGTTATTTAGAAAATAGGACTTTAGAGTCGGTTATTCTAAATAAATTAAATTCTACTGCAAAACTCAAATTTGGAAGTATGTTGGAGTTATATATGTTGTTGAAAAGTACTATACCAGAGATTATCAAGTTCGTAATGGTATATAATAGCATCTGCTGCACTAAACTGATGCACGAATTTTTACAGGGTCACTACTACACAGTTTTTATTTGCAGATTCCCAATAATATTCCAAAAAGAAAATTCTTTAAAAAAGAATATTTAAACAAGTTAGAGTGTGTAAGTCTGGGAAACATTTAGATTAAAGTTTAGGGATCGTATTACTAAGATGCGTATTGTACTAAGGTCTGCGTTACCAAAAGCTTTGAGCATGGGATTATTCAGTCGTACCTAAGCTATTCTGTACTCTGGCGGGGTGGCACATGGTGTAAAAACATTGATACTGAGAGAAATCCTAATTTGTAAACTATAGTAGTTTTCAACCACTATTCTTAAATGGACTGTTCTTGATTGGGGAAATGTAATAATAAAATTCCTGATGGAATTCTGAAAGCGCACATTAAATTAATAATGCTCTAGTGCAATATTAGCTATTTTATTGAAAGAAATACTAAAACACTGAAACAGATTTTTTGTGAATGTCCAAAAATGAACATCAGTAGATTTATTCAGGATGGCGAAAAACTCCTTCATAACATACAATAGATGATACAAGCTAAAATCTTTAGAGATCCTCAGGTTATTGAAAATTTGATATGTAATTTGTTGAAATAACTGAAAATATCTTAATATACTACCTAAGCCGTATTGCGCAGAGTTTTTTATAAATTTCTATCCGATATTGTTTATTTTATATTATTAATAAATTGGTTAACTTTTATTTAAATTAGCACTAAATACGGTATGTATTTGAATTAAACACAAATGTTATTTAAAAAGTTTGCTAATATTTTTATTTTGAATAAAATTTTATCTAAGTCCTTAAAATTCAGCTATCTTTGTCAGGTTCTTAAACACGGTTCGATATGTTATGTTCGTAAATCCTTTATTATGCGATTAAACCGAAGGAAAAAAAAAATTGACGTTCCGGTAAGAAAGCGGTGTCATGCTCATACAAATGGTTTCGTATTCAACTTATTTGCTGACAACCAAAACCAAATCCTTTCTTTTTCTACAAAAAATGTTAGTGGAATTTCTTCGGTGTAATTTAATCTACGTGTCGTTTTATGCAATTTGATGTGAGAGTGTGGGATCTCAACAAAGTATCAAGAAAATCAAAATAACCGCAAAAATTATACAGCAAAATGTAAATTCTAAAGCACACAGCATCCAGCACATATCCCTAAATAGGCCTAGTCGGAGCATGAAAAGGTGTTCATGGAAAAATGCAGAACGCGCAGAATTGTTAACTTTTCAAATGTTTTTATTAAATCTTTTCACATTTTTTTTCTTCTACAATTGAATGTAAGCCTCATCCCTGTGCTGAAAACTTCCGGGAGTACAAATAAAAAATTATGAAGTTGAAATTGACGAGAAAAAAATTGTTTTGACGTTAAGTTGAAGTTCGCTGGTTTTCTGGGAAATTTTTGGTTGTAACTGTTTGTAGGCGGCACATCTTTCCGAGAAATATTTGTTTATTGAGTGGTTTGTTACTTGAAACCACTAACTGGTGATGTACTTCGAGCACTGCCAAGGGTGAACAAACGCCGAAAGGTTGCTTCGAAAGGCGGTTCGTTTTATTTTCTCATTGTATTCGTAAGTACACACCTATGTGTATATTAAAAAAAAAAAAGATTTCAGAAGCTTGGTAGCTAAATGATGCAATTTAAAATTAATTAAATTCTCATTTATTAATATACCCTGCTATTTGTATCAAGCATTTACAACGAATGTGTCCGCCATGTTCACCAAATATATTACCTCCTTGTCATTAAAACTTAATATTCGGTTATTTTCTCCAAGAACCATTATTATTTTCCTTATGGTACCTCAAGACATTATCACAAAAACTCTGTATTTATTTTGAACACTCAATGCAACTTTGTCAACAGGTGAAGAAAAGCTTTCGGTTTGATATATAAATTATCAGGATTACATCAAAATTGTTCGTGTACTCAGAAAACTTCTAAATATGAATTTTATTGTAATGAAATACCTATCACCTTTAAAATCTGGTTAATTTTGTATTAAAAACACTAATGGCAGTTTATGTTTTCCTCTTATAAAAATCTATACCTTATGATCAAAAAAGAACGAGAATTTAAAAAAAAAAACGCAAAATTTTAATTTTTAATAATTTTTTTTATTATCGCGGCAAAACATGCAATCCATCGCTTGATCGAATTTTCCATACAAGTTTTATAGGCCGCCGAAGGTATGACCTTTAGTTCACGCAGCGAATTCTCTTTTATGGCCTCTATGGTCTCAAAACGCATTCCTCGCATTGGCAATTTGAGTCGGGGGAAGAGGAAAAAGTCACACGGGGCCATATCTGGAGAGTACGGTGCTTAGTTGATGATATTAGTGGAGTTTTGGGCCAAAAACTGCGACACAACCAACGCAATGGTTCATTAATAGCAGATCTTCCTATAGTATAACAGCATCATAAAACCAATATGGACTTATCGTATCCAGCTATTTGGTGATGCTAGTCCTTTAAATATTGAAATTATCCAAAGAGCTTAATCAAAAATACTGAGAGCAATAACTGGTGCCCCATGAAAGTATTCACCAAGATCTACAAATTCCCTTAGTTAAAACTGAATTTGACAATGTAAGAAAAAAATACTACAAAAGGCTGACAAAACATGTTAATCTCCTAGCAGGGAATCTCTCACATCTATCCACTACTTCTCGCCTAAAAAGAGCTGACCGTCCAGTCATTAATTAATATTTAATAGCTTGAACTAAAAACCGTACCTTTCTTTTAATTAATCTGATAAAGTTGAACTGCTTTCCTAATATCCAACATTCATTCTAATGAAATTTAACCCATTGATCGAAGTGAGGTTCGTGATATAAGGTTTATTTATTTTATTTTATTTTATAAAAATAAAAATTGTTATTTTATATAATTACTGATAAGATTTTAAAACTTATTGTTAGTCTCATTGTAAGAGAGAAGATACAATAAATAAATGTATAAGTATTTAAGAAAAAAAAAAAAGTTATGTTGTGTTATCAAAAGCTGAAAAAGAGAGGAAAACTCGATAAAACCCGCAATTTTGGATGTATGAACGACCGTGCCCAAGGATGAATGGCACTGCGTGAGTGTGTCTTAGAATGGTGAACTCCGGATAGCTGGCGACCTCCACTTTCAATTTAGCCCTTCCGAAGTAAAGAAGGAGGCTATGCTTCGAACGACCTCCCTGTTTCCTATACTCGTGGGATAATTTATGGACTCTTTCAAAAAAATTAACACCCAGAAAACAAACACGGAACTAGGTACCAGTTCCGAAGACGAGCTCCTGGCATCAAGTCAAGAAAACGAGCGAATCAAATCCGCCGTATTAACCAATGTACGCAGTAGCAGCCGCATTGCGCCTACTTCATCCGTAACAGTAAAATCGGTAGACAAGCGCGCCAGCCATAGTGTGCCTGCTGAAAAATCAAAAAAGTCTGAGGCAAAGATCAGACGTCAAAGGTACCAGAAGGCTATATTCATTCTTGGCAAGATTGCTAAAAATGAATCTGAAGGTACAGAACAGGCATTTGATCATACAGACAAAGTACGATGCCAGAAGGTGGTAGATGAGTACAAGGAATACCAGGCCACCCTATCACAACCCGCAAAGGCGATGAAGAGGGATCGGTCTCAGGATGAGACGACCCATACTTCAAAAAGCAAGGTTGCGAAAACAATGTCTACTAGCAAGCCGTCAACAAACGTGAAAAGGGCACATAGCGACGCAGCAAAGGATGAGCTACTGGTGTCGCTCAATGACGACATTATAGACAATGGAAAAAAGGTGCTGGAGAAATGGGGTGAGATTGAGCCCAAGTTGGCTGAAATGGTGATGGAACACTTTTTAACAAATGTAGACGCCCCTACACCAGGATTCGACTCATCGGAAGTGGTTCTTGGCTGTAGGGCCTTCAAATGTTATGACCAGCTATCCAAAGTATTTCTTGGCAACAGCATTGCTAATGTAAGTGATGCATGGGAAGGTTAAAGACTTAAGCTTATTCCAGCCAACGAAATCCCTAGAAGACCAGGAGCCCGCATTTGGTTGCCAATTATGAAGATGGAGCACGGGAAAGTACTCCAACTGCTGCAACGACAGAACCTAAACGTGCCAATGAATGACTGGATAGTAATCAAGGACGAGGGCACCCAAAAGAATAACATGACGCTTCTTCTGGTGATAAACGAGGAGTCAGTGAAGCCACTAGAAAAAATGGACTGTAAGCTAAAGTTTGGCCTACGGTACACAAAAATAAAAATATTCCGTCCAACAGCCAATGATGATGAAGGCAAGGAGTTAGAGGATGCTAACAAATTGCTTGACGACATAAATTTTCAGGAAAAAGCTTCAGAAACTTGTAAGCCTGCTCGAATGCTGAAAGTAGCACAAATCAACCTTCAGCATTCGAAAATCGCTTTGGACAATCTCGCTATATTTCTAGTCGGAAAGATGTCGACGTCAGCATCTTGCAAGAGCCATGGACCAGAAGTAAGGACGTCATGGGGCTAATGCTGAAACACTATAACAATTTGCATATTAGAAACAATGGTAAGCCAAGATCATGCATCCTAGTTAAAAAATGTATTAACGCTTTTTAATGCCCACAGTATAGTGATAAAGATCTGACAGCCGTAAGGATCGAAATGCCAGGTGGTCAAAATTTTATTGTGGCTTCTGCCTGCATGGCGCATGATAGAGAAGCTCTTCCGGAAGAGGTAGTCGCGCTAGTAAAAAATAGTTCATCAAAAGATATTCCCACGTTAATTGAATGTGACGCTAATGCGTGGCATACGCTTTGGGGCAGTTCGGAAACCAATGACAGGGGTGAGTACCTGTTTGATTTTATTAACAATTCGAATCTTCTAAATTGTAATAGAGGCAAAACTCCTACTTTCACTTTCCCTAGTTCACAAGTGTTCGATGGATGGGAAGAAGTGCTAGATATAACACTCCTATCCGAAAATCCAGACATTGTAGTTAGTAATTGGAAAGTATCTGACAATCCTTTTCGGATCATAATTGGATTCTCTTCAACTTAATAAGTAAAAGCAAAAAATCCTTTCTCTTGGTGGAACTCAGAATTAAGTGATCTCAGACAGAAAACATGAAAACAGTTTAACGAAAGCTACAAGAACAATAGTTGGCGTGAATATAAGGATTGTCTTAAAACTTATAAGAAACCAATCAGGGAGATCAATAATAATGGCGGGAAGGAATTTTGTAAGTCAATTGAATTAACCTCATCCTTTGCTAGGCTCAGCAAGCTTATATCCAAGGAAAGTACAAATCCTTCTTATCTCAAGAAAGAAGACGGCACATGGACTGAAACCTCTTCTGAGACACTAAGACTACTATTAAATACTCATTTCCCAAACTGTGACGATGATGCTAGAGAAAATGGTTTAACCACCTTGGGAAGCACACCATGACAGGTGGTTGAAGCAAAAATCAAGGCGGAAAAAATTAGGTATTCAATCAACTGTTTCTGTCCCTATAAATCGCCAGGTTTGGACGGTATTTTCCCTATAATGTTGCAAAAACGCAAGATTTAGTGATTCCATAGTTATAGGAAATTTACAAAGAATGTCTTAAATACAGTTATGCACCACTTAGTTGGAGGCAGGTTAAAGTAGTCTTTATGTCCAAGGTAGGCAAAATCGGACACGAGTCCGTCAAAGATTACAGGCCGATCAGCCTAACTGCATTCTTACTAAAAACAATGGAGAGGGTAATAGAGCTCCATCTAAGACAAAAGGTAGAACGTTTTCCAATCTCTAAATCCCAGCATGCTTGTCTCAAGGGTAGAACTACGGAAACAGCTCTACATGAGGTCATTCGTACTGTGGAAAAATTGATTCATTTTAAACAATACTCGTTTGCAACCTTTCTAGATATTGAAGGGGCATTTAGCAATGTGAACAGTAAAGCTATTCATGACTCGCTTTCCAGAATAGATTTAGAGAAAAAGTTGAAAAATTGGATAGTTACTATGCTAAAAACAACGATTATTTAGTCAAAGAACGTCAGTAGAGGTACGCCCCAAGGAGGGGTTATTTCACCACTGCTGTGGCTGCTGGTCCTGGATAATATTCTTAATATCCTAGATAAGTTAGGGGTGAAAGCAGTAGCATATGCGGACATGGTTATTCTAGTGTCAGGTATGTTCCCTAACATAATAAGCGATATTATGGAATGGGCCTGGTACCTAAGATAAGTACCTGGGCCACAGATTGTGGACTAGGTATTAACCCAGGAAAGACTGAAATGATGCTGTTTACCATTAAAACTACAATACCGGCTTTCAGATTGCCTTCATTAAACGGGCAACAACTAAAACAATAGAAAAAAGCCAAATATCTAAGAAATTCTGTTGGATAGTAAGCTAAACTGGATGTCGATCTTTGTATCAAAATGGCATGTGTAGCTTTCTATTCTTGCAGATGGATATTTGGTAAAAAATGGGAGATTCGTCCAAATATTACCCACTGGATGTACACGGCAATTGTACGCCCAATTCTCACGTATGGTGCTGTCGTTTGGTGGCCGGCTCTAAATAAGAACTAATAATAATAACAATAATATCGACAAACTTAACAGAATCCAGAGGACGGCATGTGAAGGTATCACAGAAGCTTTGAGGACAACTCTCTCGGACGCCCTAAATGTGATGCTACATTCATCAAAAACATAGTTTGCAATAGCGCTGTAAGACTAAAAGTAACAAGTGTCTGGTCTAAACGAACATATGGACATAATCGGATTCTAGGCACAGTTCCAAACTTTATGTATGGGATGACATCGGATTATTTGAATCCGTGCATAGACTTCGAAAGGAATTTTCAGACAGTATTCTCTTCAAGAAATGAGTGGAAAATTAAAAATTTAGAAGCAAAATTCGATATTTCAATATATGCAAATGGCTCGAAAATGAGCTGTGGGGCAGGAGCAGGAATCTTCGTACTATCTGAAAACATAAATAACTTTCCTAGGCTGCCTATTGAGGCTACGGTTTTTTAGGCTGAAATCCTAGCAATTATAGAAGCCTGTCGGCAAATTGCAACCCACATCGAGGACAGATGTAGTGTTCCTATTTTTATTGACAGCCACGCAGCAATTAAAGCCCTTGAATCTTTCATAACAAAAAAAGCTAAATCGGATGACCGATATCACTCTCATCTGGGTTCCTGGATATAGGAACATCGTGGGGAATGAGAAAGCTGACAGTTTAGCCCACTTTGGTGCCGCCTCCCTAGATTCGTCACTGGAAATAGCTTCTTCTACTTTCTGCAACTTGCCAATAACAGATGGAAGGCACTTAGGTCCTGCAACTTCCAGGTTAACATGGCCCACCTATAACAAAAATAAATCCTCAAAAGAGATTCTCATTGGTTTGTAGGAACCAACGCAGAGAAACTGCGTATTCCCCATAACATTCACTGCAGAAGTTGTGAAAACCCGCAGAAGAAAGAAACAATAATACATTTTCTCTGTGAATGCCCGGTTTTAACGTTCAGAAGATATAGGGAATATCCAGCCTAATATATGGATGGTCAAATAGGGGCACTTCGTCCGATACTTGCCAATTCCATATAGATTCCTCAATTCCTCTGGTGCATAGAGTGGGATTTAATAACTCTTCTATTATTGCGATAATTAGTGTGGGTTTGTTACATTTATTAGCTACAGTTAGTCCTAGAGACATAATATATGGTATTCTAATAGGTACCTACGCCTTTTATTAATATTACTGCTCCCTTACACTATATGGTGAGGGTATGCATCACAGCCCAAAATTATCTGCCGCCCAGTAGAGTTGCGGTTGGACTTCCGATGGTAGAACGGTTTCTTCTTCACGTGAGAAGTAGGCAGAGGCCATGACTATGTCTGTGATCCCTCCGTTTGTTGGAGTTCAACCAGAATCGCTGCTAGGTCTCTAAAAATAATGGTTATTAACGGAAGAAGTTTTACGTCTCCACCTTCACCACCATTATGTCTCCACTTTGACGTTTGTCTCGTTGAGAAACTTTGTCCTTGGCACTCTTTAACTGCTTCGGTAAAATTTTACCGATTAAGGGCGGTTTAGTGATAGCGGTATTAGGTTTACCTGCTACTGTTACTGTGCCCGTGTAGGGCATTGTGGGCTTGATTCCTGAGATGGAAATCTGTACAGCGCACGCACTCAAAGTGCTAACAGCTCTGCTAATGGAGGGGCGTGTGTCTAGTTCCTCTTCCTCAGGAATAGTCACTGCTGGGCAATGATCTGTGTAGGAGTTTGTTGGAGCCGAGAATGAATAGATGGTTTTATCATCCTGAACCACCTTTGGAGCTTTATCCACGGTATGAGAGAGAGCGGTGGTGGTTCATTTAAGCAACAATCTCAAATATTCGAACCGGTAAGCAATTCTGCCTTTTAGTTCGGACAACGAACTCATGGATTCGTTATCAATGACGAAAACTAGGTGCAGCATCTTATTCTGCGTCAGTCTGCGTATTACCTTCCACCGCTTGGTGAAGAATTTGTTCTGGGTACCAACGATAGCCGAAACTTTTTCATTTCACTATGTCTTACTTTGAGAAAGCCACGAACTGCATGAGTTCTTAGAAAATCCTTTTCCTCAACCACGTTTATGTGACCCGAAAATCGGTTGGGCTTTAGCAACATCAATTATAGCTTCTTGGAGAAGTGATATTTGCTCTGTAGAGAGCGTAGCCCCAGTTGGATCAGTTGACGTACAACCTATACAAACGCCTTTAATAGTTAGTCTGTACGATGCGTTGGTAAGCCCCAAATAAGCCACCTTAGATTTTCTAGCGGTAATCAAACCGGAAGATTGATCGTCCGATCTGACCTTCTTAATCGTAGTCGAGGACTGCGTGGCGATTTTCAGAGCTTGTAATCTGTTAAGCTCAGATGACAAAGCCCCCTTGAACCTTCTTCGTTCACTTCTTTTGAGATGAGTGAACTTTGGGGATTCCAAAGTAAGGTTACTAACTTTAAAGCCGACAACAATTAGACCGGAATTTTTTGAGATCACACTCCGGTTTCGAAATCACAAGATTCAGCAGCTTTGGAATTTGAACACACAATTTTAATGATTTCCTGCCGCCTTACTTGAAATTACAATGGAGACGAAGACGGTGGTCATTCGGAGCCATCTTGACGGACACTGCAGCGATGTCAATAAGGATGACTACTTCCAGCCAAGTGGCCGGCACGGATGATTTCGCAAAGGAATTATTTGAAGGTAATGCCGTCAGTGTGACATCAAGCTCGTTAGAGTTACCATATTAAAAGAAATATTTATAAGAAAATTAATTCAATTCGGGATTGAAAGGTTACCCACGACGTAGCTTATTTATCGTGAGAAGTCTAATAAAACTAGAGGTCGACAGATGTACAGAGTTCACATATTGGAGAGCAACTATCCATGGCTCTTCATACCTCGTCATATGCTGTTCCACCATGTATTTGAGCTTTGATTTAAAACACTTTTGCTTGCATATTACAATCTTTTTCCATGACATACAGATTTAGTCTTCGTACTATTTTACCCATTAACGGCGGATACTACAATCCGTCCAACGCAATTAACCTGATGACCTATGTAGCTTGTATATAGCCCATTACTTTTAAGCAACTTCAAATTCGGTTTTATCGAATGAAGAGTTCTGCAACTAATTACAGCGCATGGAGCAGCGGTATCTAATCCATTTGAATTGTCTTGCTAATAATACTGAGTATTTGTTGAATACTCTGCTATTTAGTTTAATTTCGTTCGGCATACTTTGGCAAAGTGATCGACTTTTCCATACGGTAAACATTTCGACATACTAAACTTGCACTTTTTCTTAAGCTGCTGACCTCCACGTCCATAACAATTCGCTGAATTTTTTTCTGTTACTCGCATCGGTTTTCTATTGTTCTTGCTGGTGTTACATTTTGTTTTGATTGGGATGCAACCCAGCTCATATGTTGACCCCCATGATTGCACTCTTGACGTCTGTTGTTGCTTTGTAGGTTAGTTAGATTACATGCGAAATTACATACGCATCAGTGATATTTTTTTGGTTTATAGTGATTATTTCATCAAATAGTGCGCGATTCAACTTCATATAGTAATTGTTAATATAGATGATACACAACACTTTTCTTTCCTCTACCGGATTATGGTGTGTAAGGCACTCTAGCCTTATAGAGTCTTTTTAACCGTCGTTTAATGGGAGTATGCGGAACGCCAATATGTGATAAGTGAATGTCAAGAAGAAGAACGTCTACCTTGGCAAGCTCATCCGCCCTTCAATTGTCCGAGATATTCCTATGGCTAGAAACCCAACGATCCTCGTTAGGTTATTGAGGGCAGCATGGCAGTTTTGAGTTTTATTGGCAGCTTGTCAGTCCGAAAAGATTGAAATAGTCACATCGGGGACTTAATTGTCAAGGACGCATTTTAAAGTACAATGGTTTGCTAATACGTGTGCCTGAACAACACTGCAGTGATTTGGTGGTCGAAGTGAAAAATCAAGACCCACTCTTTCAGATAAATGGGCACAGCCAACCCATACAACTCTTTTGGAGCCGCCTGTCCAACTGAGACTACTTTGTCAAGAGTCTAAGATTCTCTACTAGATATAAGAGATTCGTACCACCGGTCTGAGTAAGAGACATATAGTCAATTAAGACGGGGGCTAGTTGATTCTGGTTGTTATTTTTTTAGCTTGCTGTTCTACAAGAAGCCGAGATGGCAGTCAATGAATTAGAGTAAAGAAAACTTTCGTGGGGATGGAGCGTAAAGCTCCAGTAATTTGTGAGGCAGCTATAAGTTTTGTTCTGTGAATTAATTTTATGTAGCTTGGTTTTTTCAGTTGCTTGTCACCAGAAAACATTCCCAAGAAAAAGGATTAGTTCAATAACGGCTGGGTATAGCCAAACTGTGACACGAGGTTGAAGACCCTAACTGCGACCCATAGCTCTTTTACAGCAGTAGGTAGCACATAGCTTTATGGGCTCTTTCAGCCGAGTTGGCCTTCCAGGTGAGTTTGGACTCCAGTAAGAGACCCAGACACTCAACACTCGAGCTTAAGCTCAATATAATGCACTTTATCTGGGACAGGGGAAAGGGAGATATTTTGTATTTCCGATGTCAAGAATGACATCCGACTTTTTGGGGTTGATGTCAAGATTTAATTTTCTACACCATACAGTTTCAGTTCCGAGCACTAAATAGGAGAGGGAACCCCTCTCTGTGGTGTTCTCCGACAGATGGTTCTGCAAGATTGATCACTTCCGATGTTGGAGGCAATGATTCTAGTTTTGAGAAGAACCTCTAAAAATATGTTGCGAAAACCTAATATTTGTTTCATATATTGATCTGGTATGTATGAAATGATTATTGGGTTGGACACCCCCGCATTAAGCAGGCAAGAGAAAGTGAACTTTCATCAGTAATGTGTGGGTGAAATTGAATTATTTGAGAGTGCATGTGGATTAAGTGAATTTAGGTAACTGAAACGTTAAACCGGAATTAACGTGAAAAATTAATTGGATAGCGGTGAAGAGGAGATATATAAAAAGGGTGGGTAGCGGCAAAACGGTCTCTTTTTTCTTGGTTTTGAATAGTGTGCGCATCAAGAAATTATGAAAAAGTGCAGAAAATCGGAGTGATCTTTTATCTTTCTAAGAAGATAAAACTTTGATTTATAAGCATGTCTAAAAACAGCGATAAACACAAAAGTTATCTACATTATTAAAAGATACTAAAACTAAACTAACTATCAAAATAAATAATAAAAATATTTTAACATATCTTTGTCAAACAACCGAACTTAGGTAGATATATTTACTAAATACTTAATCGTTAGTACGAACTTACTACCTATTTCTTTTCGTCAATTTACGTAATTATTCATAGTCAATTATCTTTATTAAAAACAAGTAAAAAAAATTCAGAAAAATAATGTCAATGTCAAGTGTTTCTGGTTTATCAAAAAAAAAAATATTACATCTATGATTCCTATGAGCTACACTAGAAAAATGTCTTTAGCATGGTAAGTGTTCATATCGTCACCATCCAACCCTTTTAAGATATATAGGGAATTGCCTACACTCTTTTGAATAATACATTTAATATTTTTTTTAGCTAGTTTATAACATTTTGCTGCATTGTTTTGTCTAAAATTCCTTCTATATACCATTTGTCCTTCTTTAAAAGTAATTGGCTTACTTCTTGTGTTATCCACTTTTTCAGCTCTTTGATGAGCCAATTTAAGTTCATGTACTATCTTTTCTCTAAGTGACTGTTGCCGATCAGACCACGTCATCACAGAAAAATCACCAATTTTTATAGTCGTAATATTTCGCATCACCTAGTAGGAATTACCATGTAGCATCATTTGAGTTCCAAATACGGCATAGTAAGGTTCTATCCCAATCGCACTATGTGTTACGCTGCTGAGTGCCCATGCCACCTCACTGACATGGCGATCCCAGGTTTTCTGATCCTGAGTTATGAAAGATCGTAAAATTTGGAGTACACTGCGGTTTACCCTTTCAGCTGCATTTGAATGCGGAGCATGAAATCCCGTTTTGACATGAGAGATTGATATTTCAAAAGCAAATTCTTAAATTCTTCTGCTGTGAACTGTTTACTCAGGTACCCCAAACACATCAAAAATGTCGTAAACTGATTTTTGGATTTTCAAGCGCTCGGCCTCTTAACCGCCCAATATTTATCCACACCCTTGTAGCACGATCAAAGTAAATCAATTGAGGCTAACATATTATTGATACCAGTGTCATTTCTGAGGATGAACAGATTGAATAATAAATAACTTAACGAGCTGGAAACCATTACGAAAAAGAGATATGGGCTGTGTACAAAAGTATAGAACAAGAAAACCATTAACATTCATATTATATATATTATCTACATTATATAGTATATGGTACGTATTAATTAAAGTGGATACAAGATTTTAAAAAGAACATATGTTTTTTATGTACCATAAGTGTTCAATTTTTTACAAACTTTTACAAACAAAATATATAAGGGGTATTCAGGATGTCTGTGCATCGTTGCGTCTTGTTTCTTATTATTATGCACTTCATTTGGAAGACAATTTGGAAGACATCAATTACCTCTTGCATATTTGATTTTCAAGACTCTATTGTGAATGTTACTACTTTTTTTACTGTTCGCTGGATTTTATAATTTCGTGATTTTGTGCAATTGCTTGTTTGATTTTGTATTTATTTTACGTCCAACACTATCGGACAATTTCAAAATATTCTGCTTTTCACTTTTTCTTGGTATAATAAATAAATAGGAAAACAAAAATCAGCTGCTCTAAATATGGTATTTTCAAGACTAATATACACAAAATGTATTCACGATTATTTGAGTTTGCAATGGGGCACATTCATCGGTGCGCAGACAGTCTGAATACTCCTATAATTTCGTCTTGATATAATAATTGTTTTTATCTTCATTTTAAATAAATAGTTATTTGTTTCGCAAACTTTCTGTAGAAAAAACAATTTATTCAATGCGCAAATCAATATTACTCGAAGCTCGTTCATGTATTTCTATAATTTAAAGAATTTAAATTACTAAACAAAGTAGTCGGTGAAAATTTGATTTATTTTCCCCGTAGCTATGCATGTAAACGAGAGAGCTAAGATTTTATTTATGACAACAGTAGTTTGGTTTTTTCGAACTGTCAAATTAATCTGCAAATTTATTCTGCTCAAAAGTTTGTAAAATTTTTTACACGGAAAAATTTACGTTCTCGGTTCCGGTTCTCGTGATTGTTTCGTTTGAAAATAAAATAAATTAATTGATAAGTAATTATAAAATAAACATCCATATTAAAAATCTAAATATACATGTTCTTTGTATTTTTAGCAATAAAATGGGATGCGTGTATGAAGCTTTTGGGATTACCTGTATTATAGTGCTGATACTAGCCTCTTATCGAGCACCATATACGTTGAAAATGGGAACATTCCTTATTGGAACTGCCGTAATAGTACTAATTTGCATACCTTTTATGCTCTTGAGACCGCGAAATTATCGAAATGCATTGTAAGTTAGAGATTATCTGTTTTACTTTACATGGATAACATTCATATGTTGTATTATCGTACATATTACTTTCTGCTATTACTTTATATTTACATATTACATACCATATCTGATGAAGATAATGAACTTTTCATCATAACCAATCGTAAAATAAAATGATTTAAGTAAATATATGGCACCACCATATAATAAAACTTACCAGTTGGCAATATATCAAAGGAATTTAGTTAAAACATAGATTCTACTAACAGTGATTTGCTTTAACAGGCTCCAATGAATAAAATACCTAAACTAAATCTTACCACTTCAATCTTTGGTGATCTGATCTTTCTATGTGTGACATTTCATTAAATATATAATATATACATATATTTTATTATTGCTTCTTTCTTAAATATTCACGAAACTATTTTCTTTTTTCAAACACGAAGGGTACCTGCTTGGTGCTGCCGACTTCTTTGTCGTGGGTTAGGAGTAACAATGGAGGTACGTGGTCTGGAAAATGTACGTAAAGAAAGTGATACCATTCTGATAATGAATCATCAAAGCGTATTAGATCTGTGTGGTAAGTTTATTTGAAATGTCCTTTGTGTATATCTCTGATTAATATCAATCGTATTGCAGTGCTAGCTTATTTATGGCCAGTTCTTGGACAAGTCACTGTTGTCACAAATAAGAAAATATTTTACATACCTATCTTTGGTTTTGGTGCTTGGCTATGGGGCACAATGTTCAGAAATGTTTCACAAATATCTGGTTCAATGATAATACTTCAGTCAAACACACCAAATGTCAAAGGACTACAATGTCAATGCCCCATTCAACCGGTAGTCATATCGAAATTTTGGTTTTTAAATAGCGAAATGAAAATATTTGAATCTGGACACGTTATTATTCATATCATGCCTCGAATTCATACAAAAGGTTCCGATACTGATGATCTCGACAGTCGTATTAAGCAATTAAGAGATGTTACAAAGGAAGAGTTTTCCAAACTCACCCAAGAAGTACAATAATTTATTCCGAAAAATAATTAATTCAAAAAATTACAAATAAAAAATTGGGTATAACTTAGCCTACCTATTATAATTTCTATAATATTAAAAACTAAGAACCACAACCAACGATAATATATACCTATATTCGTATTATGAAAGAATATTAATTATTAATCAACAATATTAATCGTAAGTTAATAATTAATTGGCTTTGTTAAAAAAATCAACTTTTGTATTTCTTTTGTATATCTCTTAGTTATTAACTAATTGAGGTTTTTGAATTTGATATGAAACTTATGATATGGTTAACATATATAAAAGAATATGAAATATACTGACTTTTTTTTAATAATTTAAATAAACATCATATCAATAAATTTAAAACTCTTCATATATATGAAGAGTGGTATGCACTAATACAGGCAATACTAGTATGTGCTACGCTACATACTATTATTATTGTGAAAGGGGATGGTGCTCCTTAATCGGACTATGTTTCTCCAAGTCCGTCTGTCTTTCTTTAATGAAAGACATTGTAGAACCTATCTTTCTTAGTATTAAACAATTACGATCCATGAAATACCCTCCTAGGTATTTCTTTCGCTTGTGTATCTGTGCCAGGCACTCTCCAGGCATATTGTATGCAGTTTTTCTCTCTACTCTATAGTAAATGCAGTCTGCGTTGGATTAAATTCCTCACTTCGTTAGGTGATTAGTTAATTTACAGTGACCGGTCAATAATTTCGTAAAAATTCTTACATTATTTTTTAATTGTTCTATGCAAGCTTCGAATGGTTTTAGGTTATAAGTCCCTAAAAACATTTTAGATTGTGACAGTCTTGGCAGCTTTTGTCAATAGATTTCTATACTAGTTACTATGACGAATTGTTGGCTTTCACAATACGAGTCTTCTCCAGACTCGTTCACAACTTTCCAAACTTTGTACACGAAAGTATCTATATCTTAAAGTTTTATAAATTTCATTTAAAAAACAGAATTGGAAATAAATGTTTATTATGTTAAGGAGTTGCATTTACTCATTTAAAACTACAAGAAATCTATAAAAGTCCATGTGTTTGGTTTTATATTCTCTTTAGGTTTATGTCGTCACTCACACTATTTGTAAATGACAGAAAGCTTACTTCTGGATTGTTTTAACGACAATAATCGTGGAGAATATATTCCCGTTTCAGATATGAATATTATATGAATACTTGTTAAAAAAATTGGGAAACATGAATTGTTATACCTTGAAGTTCTAAAGGGTAAAAGCTGTCTGTATGGTGACATAGATTTTTATGTAGTTATATAATCTATTGTACTTTATAAAAAAATCAAAAAGCATAAGCTGAGTACAGTTTTGAATAGCAAAAAAAACTTCTTGTTAATATATGTAAGTACGCTACTAAATTTAATTGCGAGTCCAAGAATATGTTGTAAAACAGAATTTAAACTTGCTAATATCAAAGTATTTTGTTACAAAAATCGTCAATTGAATAATCGAGGTGTAACGAAGAAGAAGTTATCTTCAAACAACATACTTAATATTTATGAAAAAAATAGTTTAGATAGTAATGAGTAAACATTCTTCAGCATAGATGTTTTAAAGATTTATCGATTTTCAGCGTTTTCAATGTATAGGACGACGACAGTCGAGTTAAAGCTAAATCATAATCACAAAGTCAGTTTCAGGAGGTCACAACCGCAGCACAAGTTTGCGAAGCCATATGAGCACAATGCGGCACCCAACGTCCTGAAGAAACAGCCGTAAGTATGACTAAATCTTACCAATGCACACAAACTACATACGTAAGCGTGCCAGTGGTGGACGTTAACAGAATCATAAGCACAAGTAGGCTAAGAAGAGGATGAGTGTCTTGCAGAATTCGACATTGCATTTTACCAATACGATGTTTCAAGTGCTGGGACTACAACCACTTAGCTAAGAACTGCAAAGAACAAATGTGGACAGGAGGGGCATATTGCGGCAAACGGCATTATTATGAAGAAATGCGCACAATATGCAGGTAACCATTCTGCGGGCTGTGCCCGCTGCCCAGAACATATAAAGGCGATAAAAGCGGAAGGTAAATGAAAATTGTCCAACTAATCCTCCAGCAGTGAACGGACTTCTGCCACAACTGGCGAAGCTGCTATCTGGAACATAAAGGTTAGCAGTCTACAAGGGAGATTCATGACGAGAAAATACGGTTTCACCTGCTCCAAGAAAGATAGAGTGTAGTTACTACATTTATTCCTATGCACCTCCTACCTTGAGCTAAGAGAATTCGAAGCCATGATGTCAGGAATTGAAACAGAACTATGTGATAAAATACCCACAATTGTCCCATGAGATTTTAACGCATGGAGCACTGCATGGTGTAGCAAAAGAACGAATCAAAGAGGAATCACCCTATAAGAATGCTTTGCTAGGATAGACTTCGTATTGCTGAACAATGGACAAGAAATCTAAGAAGCTGGTAATAGAAGATCAGCAGTAGACCTGACCTTCGTATACAACTTATAAGTCTGTGTTATGACATGAAAGGTAGGTCATTTTTACAGGAATAGTAATCATCGGCCTATTGGTATAGAGATGCAGATAGAGATGCAGAAATAAAAGTAAACAAATATGGCGCAAACTGGGAAATGGCGCAAGTTCGAGAGTGAAAAATTCCTTGAAATATGGAAAGATAGCGAAATTTTAAAAAACAAGTGTTTAACAACAGCACGCGACGCATCGATGCCAAGAGCAAATTGCAAACCAGTACGAAGACTTGCAACAGAGCACGAAGAATGCTGCAGAGACGATTGCATATTGAACCATACGAAGTATGACAAGAAAATTACAAAGAGCATCAGAGACGCACAGTGTGATAAAACTATTTTCGGAATTAGTAAAGATATTAAAATAAAATTTTCCTAAAATAAAGTTTTTGAGATGGTCTTTTGGAGCCCAATCGGCCCACGAAAACCCTCTGAAATTTTGGGTAAAACATGGGGCATTTAGTAGTGTCCCTAGTTTCCTCAAAAACAATGATATGTTGTGTGTCTAGTCTAGCTAGATATATTAACATAAAATATTGTTACTTTACAAACCATTTTTGTGGGGTGTAACATAATGTAATGTAAAATGAATTTAAAAATAAAAGTCAATTCTGCCAACAAGGCGGAAGCATTGTTGCAAAATATTATTGAGTTTAGCTATTGAACTAAATATTTATTTTATGCAGATTTGCATGGGCCGAATATTGGTAGTTACCGAAAGGTAACTGGGTCAATACTTAACCTTCAATTTTCTGCAGAACCGCAGAAAATAATGGAAATTTCCGATCATGCATTATGCATTATGATCAATGTTTTCACTGTTTCCAAAAGATGAAAACGTGGGTGGAAATTTCCAAAGCAGTCAGTTGTGTTTTGGCAATGGTGTTCGGTGAGTGCTCTGTAGAGCCGGTGGCTCGCCAGTTAAGCTAGCTAATAAGAGTTAAAGTGAAAAAATAAAAAGGAAGAGTTTAAAACCCAAAGAATAGTAAAACTAATTAAAACAAACTTGTATCAGTATTAAAAGTAATCATTGATTAAAGTCAGAAATGATATAAAATCATATTGAAGTTAAATAAAAATTGAATTGTAAAACTATTGCCACACAAATAATTAGTGATCAAACCTAAGTTAAATTAAAGACTAGTTAAGAACCGACAAACTGGTATCATTATTAAACGTATTAATGAAATTTAAATTAAACTAAAAAAATTAAATAAATAAAAAAAAAAAATTGAGCTTTAGTTTTATTTAACTATGAGAAAAATATCATAGGTGGAAAGTGGTAACGTCTATTACAATACTTCAACGAACAGCAGTAGCAGCAACAACAAGACATTGTGTTTAAAAGTGCGTATTTATTTGTTAGGTGGACTTTTATAACACAACATTATTGAAACCCCAAAATATACATAACAGATAGATACAAAGTTGAATTTTGGTCTCCAAAAAATCTATATTATACTACATATGCCAAAACTTTTTCATAGCATTCATATTACTTTTTAATTACTTTCTTCATATCTAAAAGCGTCTTCAATTTCAATGTTTCTTATGTGGACTCTTATGTCAGTAAGACCAGAGTCCACAATTCTAAATCGCTTTTTTTACATTTGTCATGATTTACGGTACTTACAAGCGTTGAACGGTTAGGTGGTTAAGCGGTTAACCCGTTGAGCAAAAAATGAGTACCGGTGTGCCGGCAAGATGCAAAAATAAAGCTAACAGCAATGCATTGATGTGGCGTGGCAATGTACACGTTGACCGAATGAGCGAAATACTAAGCAGCTAAGCGGCTAAGCAACGTCGCTTAGCATCAGGAATTGATTTGATTCAATTTTTAGTTTGCGACTGAGCAAAAAAATTCGAGTTGTAGAAATATAGGATTTCCTATTTGCTATATAGGATGTTGATATAATATTTTAATGAATATGTTATTATTTTGTGATTGCAAGATTGATTGAAACTTTCAACTTTCAACTTTCATTTAAATTTTTTTCATTTTTAATTCATCTTCTTTATATAATGATTCAAAATTAAGTTGGTAAAGATTTTAAATTGATATGCAATAGTTTTATGATAAAACTTTTTAAAATATAAATATAAAATATATTATGTATGTGACGTTATGACAATATTTTAACTTTTCTGTGTATAATCAAACAATAATTCCACAAACTTGCAGAGTTCCCTATTCGGATTTTAAAATTCCAACATTTTCTGTTTCTGATTATCGGTTTACTCCTATAACTTCTTCAGGTTGATTCTAATATCTTAAACACATTATATCCATTATCACTAAACGAGTTGAAACGAACTGATTGTCGCAACACCGTTGTTAATAATAAACTAAAAAAATATTCATTTGTATCTCATTTAGCTCATTTTGGTGCTAAACTGATTTTTGGATTTTCAAGCGCTCGGCCTCTTAACCGCCCAATATTTATCCACACCCTTGTAGCACGATCAAAGTAAATCAATTGAGGCTAACATATTATTGATACCAGTGTCATTTCTGAGGATGAACAGATTGAATA